TATTCCCCATTGTGAGATTTTGACGGAGTGTGAATTCGCCTGGTCAATGTATATATACAAGGAGACACAAGCCCGGCATCGCACTGCTTGGATTCCACGCGCTTCCCTCAGGGTTAGTTTTATCTTGTTCTGTATATACGAGATTTGAACATCGGAAAGCTACTGTTGCTTCTTATTTTGTAGCAACGGACAAGATTGTATAAGGAGGGACTGGTTATACATAGTTTAAGTATATGGATGCTATTCAGCAATGGAAGATGCCTTTATATAGATATTACATTTATTACTCTACTGAATTTTACATTAATTTATTAAATTTATTAAGAAATGCACATTTATACCCCGAGGGGTTGCAGCCGAACAATACAATAATATATAAAAAAAAAATTAATTAAAAAAACATAAAATATTAAAAAAACATAAAATATTAAAAAAACATAAAATATTAAAACATCATCTACCAATAGTAAAACATCCAATAATTATAGTTATGCAGGTGTGGTGTCCACTCTCCTCAGTGCAAATGACTGTTTAATGGATGGAACAATAAGCTGCATAATATGAATTTAAATGACGAAAGAAGTAATTGTAATCTTATCTGTTTTAGATGATTTCATAAATCCTGGATGAATATTTACTGGCATATCGGAAATTAATAGGTAGGTTTTTCTTCTAAATTTTTAAAATTCACTATTATTTTTTTTTATATTTCGTCAAAAATTGTTGAGAAGTCGTCGACATTTTTCCATTTAATTGGATTCATATATCAAAACTATATATGGTATTTCTTAATTATTGAAAATGAAAGCTCAAGTGACATGTAGTGTTGACTAAAACAACTTCACGTCAATTAATTTTTTTTCTAAAATACTCGTAACATACTTAAACCCAGTATAAGATTAACCCATAGACCCGTGTCTTTTAAAGTTTTAGTTCTTCACATAAAAGAATTTTCAATATATCAACCTAAACATATTTTAAATTGCACAATAATGCACCCATGTGCATTAAATCTTAACTTGATGGCATTTGTCATCTAAATTAAAGACTACAGTGACAACGAGAAAAGCTAACGTGTGACATTGCTTCTTAAGGTAAATACTATAACATCAGTTATGGTCGTTTAATAGTTTTCACTTTGTTGACTAATGATTTAGTAGAATATAATTTCACGCATATACAATACGTGAATCATGTAAATTCTTCCATCAAGACAAGTGTTAGGAACAGTAAAAGCTTTTATGGAAGAAACTACTTATTGTTTTCTCGTATGCACCTGTGATATTGAGTCAACTACAGACATTTTATATATTTTGAAAAAGTAATGAAAAAGTTTATTAAAAAGTATTGACAATTTTATCAGCATTTAAAAGTACAATGTCAGACTACGAACCACCAAATGCTTTTATAAAAGTAAGGAGATATGGTATTATTGCAAATGAGACCGCGTCTCCTTATTCTTATATATCAGTTAACTTTAAAATTATGTACCACAGTGTAGCTAAAATAATTAGTTATACCAAACAAGAGGCTCTCAAGAGCCTGAATCGCTCACCTGTAATTTTTTGCTTAAATCTTTCATCAATGATCATTTTTGCTTTTACAATTTACAAATTAAATTCAACACTAGGAGAATAGTCATAGAGAAGGGCAACCAATGAACAAAAGACAAACCTGGGAACAGATTTTAGACACATAACGACAAACAATAGACAATCAACACTGAAAACTAAAAATAAATGAGAAACATGGATCTCGAAAAAATAGGGGCGACGTCAGAGGTTCATGCAAGACACTTGCCGTGAAAACAATTTGATATGAAGACAAGCTTTTGTTTCAACTTATTATATAATTTTTTTTTTAAATTTCCAACATGAGGTATTTGCCTCATTTGCCTTAATGTAGTTACGGCCCTGTTTGCCACAGGACGTCAAATACAGAATGATACATAATAATCGTCTTGTAACAGCACTTTCTTCTTAACCAAAATAATTTGACAAACTATTTTTTGAAATTGTTCATTATAATTATTTCTCTTGATGCTTATTATAATATATATTCAAGTAATAGTAAACCTATAAGGAGATGACACAGGAGGGTCGACTACTTACAGAACTTGTTTATCCTGGCAAAGGTGCGTATCGTCCATCGAACAAACTATATCAATGAATTCTCTGAACAGATTTTAAATTAACCACATGATTATCTTTTATCGAACACAATTTTAACGTCTTTACTCTGTCACACATTTCTCTTCTATTGAATTAAATAGCGGAGGATGAAGACAAATCACAGAATTCGTTTAAACCTGCCACAAAGTTAGAGGATGTCGCTCACAATTATTCTTGTCAATTAACGAAATTCTGGTTGGTGATCATACAAGGTGTAAGGCAATTTTTTTCATTTTCATTTTTCAAAAAAAAAAAAAAAACAAACAAAAAAACAAAAACAAAAACCGACTAAAAAGACTGATTTAAAGAAAAAGTAACGATTCTCGTCGTTTGCTAATAGTCATGTTCATAGAACTAATAGTTGCATTTAAGATGTTTGGTTGTTTCATGGATTCTTCCACGAAAACACATAAAAAGTTACAACTGTTTAAACGAAGCCTTTACGCAAGTTTTGTTCTTATTTATAAATCTAGATAGGAAAATCGAGATTTTGAGGGGGGTAAACGCTATGTTTGGTTGACGTGTTCTGGTCACTATGTATCTTGTGATTTTGTTAGGATGAAGCAGACTCACACAGAGGCTTCTCAAGAAAAACAAAAAGATAATATGATTAAATTTGTTGCATTGATCTTTAAATAAAGAAACCACACTACAGTTATCTCTGCTGAATCAACATTGACTGCATGACACATATAAATCAACAGTGAGGGTAACCAACCATTAACAACTTAATTTTACGAAAAAGTGATGATTTCAACTACTTGTATAAAATCTCCATATAATAGAAAAAAAGTATATGAAGTATCCATCCATGACACAAAATCAGTACATGAACAACAAAAACACATAAAAAGCTAAGGAACAGGGCTTTACTTACTGTTCTTCATCTCAAAGTCCCGTCCCTTTTTTCCCGAATGTTCGTGTTGCTCAGTCTTTAGTTTTCTATGTTGTGTTTTGTGTACTATTGTTTGTCTGTTGGTCTTTTTACTTTTTAGCCATGGCGTTGTCAGTTTATTTTCGACTTATAACTTTGAATGTCCCTTTGGTATATCGCCTCTCTTTCACAGTGAGGCCTTTAACACGGAACAAAACAATTCTCGCCTCACTGCAAGTTTAAGACGGCACCTAGCTATATATATTTAAGTGACACCTGCATTTGGAGTCTACTTCTGTATTATATAGATTGCATCTTCTCGCTAGGTTTATTTGAAAGAGGTTGACTACTTGCAAAAAAGCTACTGAACCAAAGTTTATTGAAGTTAAAGGATACATACTGTTTATGGAAGATGTACGTACGCCGTCATGACTTGGTCGACCGTTAATGACAATCTGTGTCACAGAAAACAACAGATGTATTCCATTTGTTTTAACCACAACCACATCCATTTTATCTTCTTAGTGACTATCGCATAAGGTGACGCATCACCAGATTTCTTATTTGTCAAGATTAACACAACGGGTGCTTACCCTTCCAGATATGTTTGTGATTTCCTAGCAATCTGCTCTTTTTCATCATATTTTTATGGTTACAATATTGAGTTATTCGTACTGATATGTACATCTTAAATAGGACAGCAGCTCTCGTCTTCCGCCATCCATTTCTAATAGTAAGACACATCAGATGTAAAAGGTACACTATTATAGAGGTTTTCAGTTACTCGCCGAAGGTATATGGTATATACCTTTTTACCTGTACTTGAAAAAGGTAAAATGTGTTATATATCTGCAAGTATATAGAAAATAGCGTAATACCAAATCAATCAAACAAACGCGTATCTAATTCTTTGTATGCATACATGTTTATTGATTATCATTGTCGATTCCGGTAAGAGCCTTTCAGGTATGGGTTTAATTCACCACTTTTATCTTCTATATAGATGCATAAAAATAACAGTCTCTGAAAGATTTCAAACAAAAACATTAACAGAAATATTTTCAACCAATTACATTTTCAGACGGATTCCCATACCTTAGTAAATTTTAGCTTTTAACGTCCCAAAAGAATCTATTTCATGTCTGAAGTTTCTCCTTGATATAGTTTGCCTCTGTCGTATTTGGCACAACCTTTCATAAGTTTCGATTATCAATGCTCTTCTACATCGCAATATTTGAAATGGCGTTGCAACTGTTTTTATTCGAGTGTCACTGATGGGTCTTATGTAGACGAAAAGCGCGTCTGGCGTACCACATTTAAAGTCTGGTCTACTTGACGAGTTTTTACACAGTTCTAACTTTTGACTGGATAATTTTACTTCAAATTTCAACGGCTACACAAATTGTGCAAGGTTACATATACATACACGAAATACGTGATGTACAAAGAGATACAACTCTATATTGAAAAAAGTGAAATGAAATTATCTGTATAAATCACAGGCCCTCGGATACATGAGTTGTACTTTGTTATATTGGTTGCAATGAATATTCAATTCAAAATTTAAAAACCAAGTACAAGCTGTACTGTTGCACCAGTTGTGTTTTGTGTATTGTTGTTTGTTTTTTTTCGTCGTTTTTCGTTTTTTGCCATGGCATTGTCAATTTGATTTGATTTTATTAGATATCTTTCGCCTCTCTTGTGTAAAATAGGTTTTCCTATTCAAATGCAATTTTGAAATAACTGAATTTTTATTTCCCTTTGGTATCTTTGGCCTCTGTGTTAAAACTTGTACACAACTTTCTGCCAAACCTTTACCAATTTTGTACAGTTTCATGAGTACAAAGCATCATCATTTGTATTGTACGCATATTGGATTGCATATTATTAAATAATACAAGAAAGGCAAAATTTCTAACAATATTTATATTATCTGCATCAACAAATATCAAAGTTTGTTTCTTCAAACGCTGGTATGTGTATCTTTTTCAATTTTGACATATATATCTGAGTATTAACATGTATTTTTGTGCGTCATGCAATTTCTAGCACACACATATGTATTGTAAAGGTTACAATATAAATATTAATATCAGCTAGGTGTAATCTTTGAAAGAGGAAGAAGTCCATATTATTTTCATTATACTGTTTGGATATCAGATATACGTATTGGCGGGAAGTCGTATGATTCTATACCATCTTATATTTTTTCTGATAAAGGAACAGTAGTGTTAAAGAACGAGTTGGTAAAAAAATCGGGTTGGTTGAGTGTGAGTTGGCGCTGAAAGCAGTATCCCTACTATATACCAATGCAAAATCAAGTGGATAGTTGATGCTGGCTTTAGTCAGACTGCATTGAAAGGTGCGATATGTCATTGAATCAACCACCTGGGCAGCTTCCGTCATCTGAATTACTGCGCATGTGCGAAACAGAAACTAAAAAGTATACAATTTTGCATTTACTAGTATATATATTTTAATGTTGAGGTTTTTACTGTAATGATGATTTCGTCCTCTATTATAAGGAAGCAACGAAGGAAAACATATAAATCAGTGTCTTAATGTCTAGATGATAAGATACTTATATAATCACCCGGAATCTTGACGAAGGAGTCGATAGCTGATTTCCCCTGAAATGCATATATCTATATATATATTCACACTCGAAGAGATTAAACATATAATTGTTGTTTATTTGGCATATTTTTCTTTTTATTAAATAAAGGAACAGAGAAATGCAATCCTGAGATATTGTGTGTTATGACTTAGTATTTTCCTTTCAATAGAAATCCAATATATAGGCATCACATTATTGATTACAGATTAACTTTCTATCTTCTCTTCAGTATGTGCTGAACTATTTATGTCACTAGTTGAACATTCTCCAAGACAGCAACATTCATCTTGTTGGTTCTCTGACACAATTTTCTTATTATTTGTCAATACAGTTTTTATTTCAGCGCCTTCGACAGATTTGGTCGTTTTATTTTCGCTAGCAGACACTAGCGAACTTTCAGATAAAGTAGTCGAGATTTTATTGATATGGTTCATTGCAGTAATTTCCGGATTACAATACCTTCCAAGAAACAAAATAGTTCCACTACTTATATCCTTTATCACAAATAAAAAAGGGTGATCTGCGACAAATTCAAACGTGGACGGCCTTGCTGATCGAAATAACATGAAAATTGACGAAACGGCAGCAGCGACACTACCTTCTTCGTTCACTTCAATAACACTTTCATGAAACGCATCAGAAACATAAAGGTCTCCTTTCTGGTCACAAGATCGTACCATATGACTAAAATCTGCCTTTAATGCCTCGAATATGTCCGTTACTCCTAGTCCCTTTAGAATAGCCTTTAGGTCAATTTTTGCCTTAATTTTAAATTTAGGAAGAACTAGTTCTGTTGGTCTTGAGATCAATCTTTTAACGAGATTATCAAATGTTAGAGTGGACAATTTCTTTTCCAATTCTGGTAAACCTTCTTTTTCATTCGGAAGAATAATAACCATTGAAATGTTATCCCCCTTGTATGGCAGTTCGACAGCTTTACACTTAAGATCCATGTCGACACCAGCCTTGAACGTATTTTTTTGCCACATCATATTTATCATCACCTTTTTGTTTTCGTTCATCCAGAAATCTCGCTGTGTTGTTTTCTTTGGATCGAACTTGCTTTTCCATTGACCTTTGAAATACACCACATTTGTGAGTATCATAAAGGTTAATTGGTCGAGCATTCCGTCTGGTATAAACTCTTTAATTTTTCTACCGGTGCGTGCTTCTATCCATCTGTTAATAACATTACGAGTATATGGCTCGTCACCAAAATCCATTAGAGCAACTTGACAACCATAATTTCGTCTAGCACTTCTTCTAAACTTGTTTTTGAGCCTTCGAACTTGCCATTTCGCCACAAAAAACTGATTCGCGATTGAGAGCTGCATTCCGGGTGTATTACGTGTTTTACTCAGAAGGTTATCATGCAAGACTTTATAATTGTGGTCAATGTCCCCAGTTGGAAGTCCTTTCTTAAATAAAACCGATTTTAGTTGGTTTCTAGACAATCCATTTGTTCCCATCATAAGGAGCATGAGTGAAGCAGCAAGACTAAACGGAGATAGGCAAACATTGTTTGGCTTATGTAAGTCATTGTAGATAGAAAATGAAAAATCGGACAAACAGACATTAAAACTTATATTAGCTGGAATCGAAGCCATTGCAACAGTCTACTTCTGCGTTAATAATGAATATTTCATTCGAATAAATGAAAGGACACAGTTAATGTTGCATCACTAATTGAATTGTTGTTTATCGCAGAGGCGGAATGTATTGAGTATATATATTTCTGAAAAAGGTTTCTTGTTTAAGGAACGTATAATATATATTTTCCTTTAATGAAAGTTACTTTGATCTTTCTGTCATTCTTTACAATTGTTTGGGGATTAAAAATTGTGATTAATAAAACTCTGTGTTTTCTCAATAAACAGTTGTTATACGTAAGATTAATGATAGTATTTGCAACACCTGTTCCACTCGTCTGCATATGTTTGGTAAATATATATGACACATAAGCCATACACACTTTGTGTTTTGTGACCGTATGACATCTATGCTAGGGTTAAAAAATACTTATTTCTTGAATATCAGAGACTTCTGTGGGCATGTGATCGGTAAAAAAAGTGATGTAATTGGTTTCATCCATGCTCGTGTCAAAACATTGACTTTGAATTTGGTAAATATTGCTTATCCGATGAACACACAGCTTTGTGATAAAGATTCTGGGCAGGTAACGTTTTACCTAGTTAGCTAGCACGTTAAATTCCGAGACAATGTGTCTACTTAGTCGTAGCAAGTTCTTTACAAAAATGAACATAATGCTGTCAGGAATTTGCATTTGCCACTGTACTTTTATGGTAATTGCATCATATCAGTAATTTTATTAATTTAAACATTTGGCAGCAGTTAACATAAATAGATCTAAATAGAACAGTCCAAGAAAATATAACCTCGGAGTGTAGTAACCTTATTTTAAGAATTATTTCATAATTTCATACATGAAAATTTATGATAGTAAAAAAAAAATGAAAACAACACGTTATAAATTTCATGCGTCCGAAGCGCTTTTCTGGATTTAACTTAACCAGGAAGCCTTATATTTGAAAGTCAATGATGTATAAGAACCAAAAACAGTTAAAGAGCTATATGACCAGACATTGTAGTATTGAATATAAATCTCTTAGCATTGGCTGCTTAGTGAATTTCATTCTCGATGACTTACAATTCATCAACATTGGTATATATTAAGGGGTTACTCATCCTGTACATTCTATTCAGCGTCTTACGTGTACCCAGAATTAACTTTATCAGGAAACATATGTCTAGAAGGCTAAATTTATAAAACATAAGAGAGAACGAAAATAAATAAAAAAATCTATCTGAACAGCTATAAAGGTTTTGGGTCAGAGGAATCTGCCATGGTCACTAAAGAAATGCCTTTTTTGTTGGGGTTTTCCTGGAATGAAACAACTCGTCAAATACACAACCCGTCAACTATATAAGTTCTTGCAATCCTCAGTTGAGACTGCGTTTTCTCGAATCTTAACCAGTTTACCTTAACCACTATAAAAATTATCCTATGGATTTAAACAATATACAAGTGTAAAGGTAAAATACTTACATGGGAATACCGTATTTATTTTAAGAAAAGTCACGTGAGTTCGAATGCCTACTCAAAATTAGAAAACGGAGCAGAAGGCATGACAGACAAAAAGAAGGACGGATCCTTTACATAGTCGGAAATGAATTACTATACATAAATAGTATACATTATTGTTCAGGGGCCAGATGAAGCCCGCCTCCGGGTGCGGGATTTTCTCTCTTCGTTGAAGACCCATTTGTGGCCTTTGGATGTTTTCTGCTCTTTGGTCGAGTTGTTGTCTCTTTGACACATTCCCCGTTCCAATCTTCAATTCTATTTACATACACCAATAAATCGCTATTATCCTTGGCTGTCAAATATTTGGCTTTGAACATTCCTGATAAAGGTAAATCCAGAAAAGTTCTTCTGACGCACGAAATTTATAAAGTGTTGTTTTCTTCATTTTTATATCGCGAATGAAATTTATACATATTGTTTTATGAAATAAATTACCAATCCCATTCTGTTAGCATTAACAATTCCCAATGTTAACGGCTAAGCCTAAGTCTAGATTCAAATAAAATTCCTCGCCAGTTTCTATCCTCCTGTTGTCACTCTCCTCTCTTCTTTGCGTCTCTTTTGTTTCTCCCTTAAGGTTTCACTCCATCAACCGCTCAGCAATGGGAACATATGTTAAACTACTCTGACAAAACATTGTGATTTTGATGTTGTTGTTTCCGTAAAATAAATAAACATGAAATAATTGTTTGCTGAATGAGACTCTTTGAACCCTTTAGAGCAAAAGTTGGCTTGCAGTTTAGTAGAGATGTGCATATTTGGATGCTTACAATTTTTTCCCCGCAAAATCAGAGTGCTATTTGTAGTAGTACTAAGTGATTTCCAGAACGTCATGTTTCACTACACGATTTTCTAAATAGGTTGAAAATTGGTTTATAGAATGGAAACTCACGAAGTCAAAATAAACTATTTAGAGTGCTGTGAAAATTTAGGAAATACTGGTGAAATATATAGGGGTTTTGAATTGTTGGTATGACATCCTACTTTCCACTCACTTAATGTGTCCCTGATGTTATTTATATATGTAAGATCATTCTATCTTCTACCTAAAATGTTTATTTTGTTGTTCATATTTCAGTGTGAGCCTCTCTCATTGGGGCCTGGCAAGCTTGAAGTTTATATATACTGGTTATCTTAATAGTCACTGTTGAATGTTGAGTCTTATTGGTAGCAGGTTAGGTACAGTACGATCTGGTACATAATCTGATAAATGGTGACCATAAAAACAATGTCAACCATGATGGCCCTAGATGTCAATCATTATACTCCCTGTAGGTTAATTAATGCATAATGTTTGATTAAAATCACATGCCAAAGGCAAAGAGCTATCCTGATTTCACTTAAGCGATAAAGTTAAAATACTTCATATTCCGTTATCGAAATGATGTTGTATCACTAGATTATTCAAAGGTTGAGTATTGAGATCATCTATCTACTCGAACTTGAAATAAAGGATAAAACAAAACAAATACAAATAAGTAGCAACATCACAGTAGCGCCGGCATATGGAGTACATATTTGGCAGTTGAAACGATACTCTGGAGCTTGCATTTACTATCACATTTCCTTGATAGAGGGTTGCTGTTTATAAGGAAATTAAATAACCAAAGATTCCAATTGAAGTTGAAGCCATCCTACACGATGGGTGTCACATGTGGAGCAGGATCTGCTTACCATTCCAGAGCACCTGCGATCAGCCCAAGTTCTGTTAAACAGAGGTTTGTGTTGCTCTTGCTTTAGTTTTATTAAGTTCTTTTTAATTTTTTAATGACTATCATTTTTATTCTGGCAACAGTTTTGTCTATCCTTAGTCGTGAAAAATGTGGTTCAATTCAATTTTAAAGGTTCACATTCGGTCAAATTTCAGGATTAGAAAATTTACATGGCCGATGGTATACTTATTTAGAAATGAAAAATATAAGGGAAATATAAGAGTCAATTGCCTATCCACTTCTTCGCAATGCCTAGTCACTCGACATAGCTCTTAAAGATATTTTATAGGAGTAACACAACGGGTGTCACATGTGAAGCAGGATCATCTCCGATTTATAAGTTTTAATATTCCTTTGGTATCTTCCACCTCTGTTTTACAGGTAACGTATCTCAGGCAGATTACACGTGTTTGAGAAGTTGTGCATTTAATTTCTTTGATTAAAGAATAAAAAAAGATATGAAATAATATAACACTAATATACTAGTATGTACAAATAATTATACATGTATATATTGCTTAATAATAGTTAATGTAAAAACGGTCTTCAACAGTAAGGGACTGCACGATATGTCAATTTTTAAATCGCCAAGAGTGTAGAAAAGCTTGCAGGGGGTAGGCCTTGGTAACCCCAACATTTTCCGTTCGTTTAATTTTTCTTATATTTTTACCATTGAAAAAGTAGGGATTATTGCAGGATCTGCTTACCCTTCCGGAGCACCTGAGATCACCCCCAGTTTTTGGTGGGGTTCGTGCTGCTTAGTCTTTAGTTTTCTATGTTGTGTCATCTGTACTATTATTTGTCTGTTTGTCTTTTTTTTTTTGGCCATGGCGTTGTCAGTTTGTTTTCTATCTGTGAGTTTGACTGTCCCTCTGGTATCTTTCGTCCCTCTTTTTTTTTTAAAATTAAATCTAAAATATCATGGTAATATGTGTAGCCTGAATGTAAATAAATGGTTTAATTATTGATACGGCAAAAATTCTGGCCAGTTCACATAACACATTTATTTTTCAAACTTTGCCAGAAAAAAATTGTCGTTTAATTCCTGCAAAAAATTGCTAAAATTATTGGTTATAAGCCTTGAAAATCACAAACATTTATAGAATTTGACCGTTTGAAATTTTCACAATCTTTAAACAAGTTGACTTACAAACACAAGAAAAATTGAAAATTTTTGGACAAAATTCATTTATTCTCCTACAAAACCTTCTATAGTCTGACTTTGCATTCTTTTTATGTTCTGAAGTGAAATTATATTGTACCAATAATAATTGTAGTCAAGTTTATAAGTAAAACCAGTTATATGTAGTATGGGACGAATTGACATATCAACATTATGTATTGGTTTCTCTCCCCAGACTACAAAATGCCCCTGTCATCAGTCTGCAGAAGTTATTAAAATTCAACGTTTTTACAATGTGTCACTATCTATGTACAATATTTGTGATAATAAAGATTATCTGTTAGCATTAGCTTGTACTAGGATGGATGTTCAGATCATATCTTCTAAAATGGTGCCATTTATATTTAAAAACCAAAGACATACAGTTAAGTACAGCCTATTTAGGGAGCAACCATTTAACTTCAGGGGGGGGGGGGGGGGGTTTCGAGTTTTTTGTCTGAGTCAGAAATCTTTTTTTGCGCAAAGTGCAATCAATTTTATTTTTAAATTCGAGAATGGAAATAGGGAATATATCAAAGAGACAACAACTCGACCAAAGAGCAGAAAACAGCCGAAGGCCACCAAAGGGTCTTCAACACACCG